CCTGAGCGGGCAAAGCCCTGTTGTTCAGCGATGGCCTCAGCTGTCGCCTTGGCCGCTTGCGCCACGATGTGTGCGACGCTGCTGGGGTCGTTGAAGGAAAGTGTTTTACCCTGGCTGGAGTGTGATGGCTGGCTGCCGGTAGGTGGGACCGGGTTGCCGGCAGGTGGTGGGGCGTAGGTGACTTCACCCTCGTTTATCCTGTTGGCTTCGAGTTCGGCTTGCACTCGTTGCTGGACGATCTCCTCCACTTTTTGCTGTAGCTCTTCCCCGCTAAGGGCGGAGAGGTCGATGCCCTCCATGGTGTATGTTGTTGTGGGAGTCTACCGATTGCGCGTGGCTGCACAACCCCCGGAAGGCTACGCCCGCGCGCAGATACCGTGATATCGTGATATCGCACTATTAGTGTGAAAGGTAAACTACGCGAGGTGCAGCAAGCACGTTCTGGACGTACTTGGGGCACTGGGTAGTCGGCCGTGTATGACCGAGAGAGAGAGGTTGAGAGAGAGTTGGAGAGAGAGTGGGAGAAGGAGACTTGATTGGAGGGAGACGGTGGTGGTGGTGGAGAGAGAGAGGGAAGAAGAAGTGCGCAGCACGCACGCAAGCTCCATCGCACCAACCACGCCAAAAGGATCCCCGTGACTGCACCGGTGGTACCCTACTACACACCGAAATTCCCAACACGTATCCCCTGGGATCCTCACGACCAGATACTGCTGCGAGTATATCAAACATACCACGCTCCACCCNGTCATGGACAACGCTGATTGAAGGAAATTCTCACGTAGGTTCACAGCGTCTTTGGAAGGAGGCGGGACCCGGTTTTACACCGCAACTTGGGACACCTAAAGCCTGTCTATGAATGTCATCGGCAAGAATCAATGAGTGAACTTCGTGACGACCATGTTTCTATGTAGCTCTTTTCCTTCAACAATGGTACCAATGTCTTTGGGAGGCCACAGAATGTTTGCACCACGTTCACTCCCAAGCTCCCAAGTCTACAACCGTGTCGTGCTATTGAATATTCAGAGTATTGTTTCAGATGCATATCGGTTACCTTTACGATTTTCCCTCCTCGAAGCTGACGGTGAAGCATATACTTGGCAACGATGCCCTGCGATATTATGCCTCTGATTCGATCAAACCAGTGAAATAAGCATGTCGGCATCGGGACTAGGTTTCACACAGGGACGTGGGACACCGAAAGCTTGGCTTTGGGAGCGTTTTCAAAGTCCACGAGGCTGAAAATCTCGAACCCACCTCGTACAATGCGGTGATGGATTCAAGCGGTTGCATGCAGGCGATTCCTCCTGGTGTCGTCGACGCCAACGTAGCGCATGCCAGATCGATGCCGGTACGCCAACGACCACCAAACCGGCAGGGGAAAAGAGCGGACAGGGGCAAGAGTTCGGGGGAGGGCACAGCAGATGGCAGTGATACTGTCACCAACGAGGGTGGGATCGACGGCAGTCTGCCGAAGAAGAGCGTGGAGAGGGAGGGGAAACGGGGATGGTAGCATCAAGGGGCAGGATGACAACAGTGACGAATTTTCGGACAAGAAGATAAGAGTAGCGGCGACGGCCAGGAGGACTCCGTCAGTGGTGCCTACTCGGGCAACGGTAGGAGTAGCGACGATGACCACGAGGATGATGACAGTGATGCCTACTCGGGCAACAATAGGAGTAGCGGCGATGACAATCATAACTGGGGGCTTACGTTCGACGACGACTACGACAACGAGGGAGTGCACCCCGCATAACGCGCAGAAGGTGCCATAGAACGCGGCAAGGCATTCAATCAGCGCCGAATCTTCGCCACTATGATAGCAAAGAGCAAGGAGAAGGTGGACGAAATCTTGCGTCCAGTTTCGCCTGACCAAGCCCTAGATATACAGACCCAAAGTCGGGGCATACGTCCAGTACCTGCTCGGTGGGCAGACGACCGCGAATCCAGCGCAGGCCCCCACCAAAGGGAGGCCGAAACTTTTCGACTTGCGAGGAAGACGTCTTGATGTCAAGCGAGATGAGGAGCGATTGCACATCGGCTGCGCTGTTTTGCACCAATGAATATGGCATGATGAGGTCACATGGGATATCCGTTCTTTTCCTTTTGGCGCGTTCGTGTGCAAGGGTGCGTTCGTCGATTGCTCCAATTTCCAACGTGATTGTTCGTCTGACGTCCGGTACTTTCTTCGAAATGCGATGTTCCGTCGACTACGCGTCTCTGTGGTGACGTCTTCAATCCGACCGCACGACATGCTTCCCAACTTGACCGTACATCATCAAGTAGCGTAACGTTCCTCCCCGTTTCAGACTGCGAGCCTTTTGAAAGAGAACCTGCACCGCCCGAACAGACAGGTATGCGTATAGGGTGCCACACATCAACGCTGCAAACAAACGTCGAAGTAGGAGGAGCAAGACAGCTACCGGAACATGTTCGACCGTTAGCCAACAAGGTACAGGCAAAATGTAGGTCTACAATAATATATGTATAGCGGCAACCACATGTATCTCGGGAACCCCGTATTGGTTTTGGCGGAAGAACGACGCGACAGCTGGTGGGCGTGAGAACACAGCAAAATTCGTTCTTGGTGGGATGTTTTCTCGGAACGTTTCGCGCGGTATCGTAAGTATGGCCAATTTTTGACACCGGCGAGCGAGGTGGTGCTGCGGTCACATTCTTGGGGTTATCTCGGGAACCATATATTGGTTTTGGCCAAATAACGGCTTGCACAACAGCTGGTAAACATGGGAACACGGCGAAATTTGGTTTCGTGGCTATTGGAGGTGTTTTTGGAGAGTTTTGCGCGGTGTCACAAGTATTGCATACTTGCGACACCGCCGAGGTGGTGCCGTGAGACCGCCTTGGGCTATATTTCGGCAACCACTTGTCACTATGGGACGAACGAGGGCTTGCACGACAGCCAAGAGTAAGTAGTAGGAACACAGAGAATGTCGTTTTGAAGCATTTTCTTAGGTGCCATAAATATCATGCCGTACATATATTTCGGTTTTCAAACACCTCATTTTTTGCAGCGGCTCGGGCCCATGACGATCAGCTGCGGATGGCGCCTGCGGTAAGATGGAAAGACAGAAACGACTTGATACACACAAGTCCTCACTCCATTTATGTCGACCATCGAGCAGTGCATGGCGTTGATACCCTCGGCGATTTCTGCAAGGTAGAGACGAAGCGTTCCCACTCGCGGCGATCGGGCAGCAACAAGACCTAAATACGCTGCCAATCGACAACATCAAGTGGTGGGAGAATAGGACCTCTTTCAGACACAGCCTCGGACAAATGCCTATCCGTCGGAACACATCAGCTGGTTTGGGTCCAATTGTAGAAGCAATGTTCATCCATCCAGATTTTCAGCTGTCAGCATGAAAACGACGAGACCACAACGTCTACTGTACAGAGCCTGTGAAGAAGAGTATTCAACGTAACCACGCAACGTTGGCCAAAATAGCTTCCCTCATCTCCCATTGCTCTGTGCAGGCTGTCGCTTGTCTAACGGCAGAATAGGAAACATACAGATTAATGGCAACATGCCGTCGGATACGGAACGTTCTTACAAGGTTGATTCCGACGCTTTTTCTGGTTGAAGCTACATGTCCACGAAAATACGAGCGCGTTACCGAAACCAAAACACCATCCCTAACACCACTCACGACTACGCACGAAAAAACGACCAAGACCCACCTTCTCAACTTGACGCATTCCTGCACCTGACCTGATCATCAAATACACCGTCACGACCAGGTACCTGACGTCATCCAGGTAAGATACAGCGGTTGAAACGTTTCATCGGATGCAGTAGACACTCCATTGTCCATTCTCATGATAGCATGTCGACCATGCAGTCTAAAGACACAAATGAACAAGACCCGACTTGTCTGTATTGGGACCGAAAAAAAACGAACCAAGCCATTCGAACCGAGGCCCCTCCAGGGCGGCATAAATAGCGAAAGCCAAAGTTGCGTATGCATGGATCTAATTTCCTGATCTTCCTTTCACACGAACTCCAGTTTGTTCGGTGTGTAGCAATTATTGTATTTGTTACCGCCATAGTGCACCCCCACGTCTTGAGGTTGAGGGTGGTCAGGAAAATAAGGAATTTAAGCTGTATCCGATTGCCTCGGTGGCGCGTCTACCCTGAATTGAAACTCTTTCGCCGCCCATCACACATCTTTTCTCCATCGCCGGTACGGCATTTCACAACGTCGGGAAGGGCCAGTGCCAACAAACTGATGTATCTAGCACAACGGCCACCCGAGATATCATCTGCGATAGTTGCACTGCTGCCCCCCAAGCAATTAGTGCCGCTTTTGATCGTATCGCGTCATGAAGTTGTGATATGGACGGCATCACCAACTCGACACGACTGGGCAGCATAGCCTTCCTCGCTGACAGCTGTGGGCTTGTCTTGCATGGCGATCAAGTTGTACCGGCACACCTAATCTCCCTGTTCTACATTTCGGAAAGCAGAACCTACACACCTGGAGGCGTGCCTCGATCACGTTTACAGCAGACTAACTCCGTAACGAGTCACACTTTGTAAGGAGGCTGGCCATACCACTCCGGCCAAGGACTGATTGAATTTGTTCCCAGCGATGAACGCCGCAGGGAAGCCGGCCACACCACCCCCGCAATCGGCTGGATGAATTCACCCCTAAACGATAGCTACTGCAGGGAAGCCGACCACACGAGGTCGGTGATAGGCTGGTTGAATGTCAATCCGAATGATAGTTGCTTTAGGGAGGCTGGCCACACAACGTCGGAGGCAGGTTGGTTGAAGTTTGTTCCAAATGATAGCTGTTGCAGGGAGGCCGGCCACACGATTCCTACAATGGACTGGTTGAAATCACCCCCAAACGATAGCTGTTGCAGGAAGGCCGGTCACACGACTCCGACGAGAGGCTGGTTAAAGCGACGTCCAAACGATAGCTGCTGCAGGGAGGCCAGCCACTTGACGTTGGTGATGGGCTGGATGAATGCCAATCCAGATGTCGACTGCTTCAAGGAGGCCGGCCACACAACGTCGGCGATAGGCTGGTTGAAGTTTATTCCAAACGATAAGTGCAGCAGGGAGGCCGGTCACACGATTCCCACAATGGGCTGGTTGAAGCAACGTTCAACCGATAGTCGCTGGAGAGAAACCGGCCACACGACTCCAACAATGGGCTTGTTGAAGTTACCCCCACACGATAGCATCTGCAGAGAGGCCGGCCACACGATTCCGATGATCGGCTGGTTGAAGCAACGTCCAAACTATCGTCGTTGCAGAGAGACCGGCCACACG